CTCTACTATACATCAGAGATTAGTTGGAATGATACTAATATTCTTCCGTGTCCTAGCAGAGAGAGAGAGAGAAAAAAAGAGAGAGATAGAGAGAGATATGTATAAAATAAATATATATGTATACACACAAACACATACACACTCATACACACACACACATACACACACACACACACACATATACATATATATATATATATATATGTGTGTGTGTGTGTGTGTGTGTGTGTGTGTGTGTGTGTGTGTGTGTGTGTGTGTGTGTATAAATGTATATATATATATATATATATATATATATACATATATATATATATATAGAGAGAGAGAGAGAGAGAGAGAAATTTTATATTTTTAAGATTTTAGAACTAACTATAGAACTCTTAATTTTACAATATATTGTTTGCTCATTTGCTTATTCATTTAACTTGAAAAAAATGGAGCTGTAACATACAGAACCTAACGATGAAATAATAAACGCTACATGTTTCATATATCATAGTTTATTTTCCGGCTTCGTTATTTCTATTTCTAGTTTCATTATTTCAGATATATTCTTTTTAGGAAAACATTAGGAATTAATTAATGACCATTATTAATTCCCATTTTCGATATTTTGAATATACTTTGGAATTATACCATTATAACGCTTGATATTTTATACTAGAAAGTGTATGTCGAAAATTCTGGTACCCTGTGGATACGTATATCTGGTCCACCTCTAAATATTACTATTAGTAGTAGTAGTAGTAGTAATAGCGTCATTCTCATTATCCATTTTCAACACCGGAAATCAATGTAATATTAGCGTTGTTTTTTATCACCATGCTGCACATTAAGAGTAAAGGCTGTTTCATCACTAACACTATTTTTTTTAATGAAGAAGGATATCGTACTGGCAAATTTCAATCATTTCTGATCATGGTAAACAAATAGTGATTCTTGCTATGCACTCAAAGGTTTTATAAATGAGACCTTTTAAAACGTATGTAGGATCAGTCATTTCATCTGCAAAATAATTTCGTAATATTTGGAACGCATCACTCTAAAATGGAGATGCAAGAGAACATAAACATTGGTATAATGTACAATTTCTAAGGAACGAGAAGTTTACTCTACGATACTAACGAACGAGGCGTCAAAATATCATGAAAAAACAGTTTATTTCTAGTGTACGGTCCTCATGGCTGAATACCCAAAATATAGCTATTGCGTGAGTCAATCTGTTCCAGACAATACGTTAAGATGTGAATAGAACTGTTATTGTCTGAAGGACATTTTCCGCCAGACCCTCCCTGAGATAGATACAGGGGCACTGTCCAGGCGTGCAAAGCCACAGCCAGCGGTCCGCAGTGCCTTTGATGACAGCTTGACATGTAGTCCTTCAGAGTAGTCCCTTGACGGAAATCGTGTCGCCAGACCGTGGAGTACTCACTGCTGGTTAAAGAAGGGGATGTTTATGGCGATACCTTTACAAAATGTTTTCTACACAATGATACGGAAACGTTTAAGATAACTGAGACCTTGGGGTTACTTATGAATATAAACTTTAGATTTGTTATTTTATACGCTTAACGTATACGGTAACGCATATATACATAATATATATATATATATATATATATATATATATATATATATATATATATATATATATATATAATATATAAATATATATATATATATATATATATATATATATATATATATATATATATATATATATATATATATAAACACACACACACACTATGTGTATCTATTCATGTTCTTTGTCAACCAGCATATCGAAGAAATATGCTTCAGTAACCATAAGGATTGCTTGATGCTAAAGGATTTCTGTAGAATAGAACACATCGGTGTGAGTGTGATAGCCAGTATTAATCTTGCTCTAACAGTTATGAATGTTAACATATCACGGCATAGTATTAAAGATAGTAATATGCCGTGAAATTTTAAAAGTTAGACGTCTTTCATTGACATTATAATTATCTCCTGAATATGGGAAATCTTCGAATACTTAACTTAAATTTATTGAAAGACGAAGGAAAGGCTCTGACATTGTAAATTTTATTTTGTAATATTCTGCTTTTCATTTTTTATAAATACGGTAAAATGATTTACGCTAACGCTTTTTCATCGATATTAAATGCATTAGAATCACCCAAACAAAGGCGTACTATTTTATATTGATAACTGTTACTAAACCGAATGACACTCTTTGCAATATTAGAATGTGTGTAGAACGGTAATTCATCCCGCTTTGTTTACCGAAACATTTTCTAAAATAAAGTAAGATGGGTAACGCACATCCACACACATACACACACACACACAAACACACACACACACACACAAACACAAACACACACACACAAAAAAAACACACACATACAAATACACACACAAACGAGCACACAAAAACACACACACACACACACAAACACACACAAACACACACACATGACGTGCACATGTAAATATACATGTTTATATACGCATG